ACCTTTCCTTCCAACAGCACTCTTTTCTTCCTCAGAAACCTGCAGAGCCTCAATCTTGCCTTGAATGATTTTAGGCTTTCCAAGATTCCACCAGAAATCAGTCAGTTTACTAGACTAAAGCATCTTGATGTCTCTTTTTCTCAATTTTCGGGCCAAGTTCCGAGAGAAATTGCTCACCTACCCAAGTTAGTTTCTCTCAATCTCTCTTATTCTGACTTGATCCTTGAAACAACTACCTTCAGAAATCTTGTTCACAACTTGAGTGAGGTGAGAGAACTTGTGCTTAGTGGAGTGAACATGGCATCTGTTAATCCTCGTTTCTTCATGAATCTCTCTTCTTCATTGACTACTCTTGATCTCTTGAGGAGTGCATTAAGAGGAAACTTTCCAAACAGTATTTTCCGCTTTCCAAATCTCAAGAATTTTTATTTAAGTGGAAACTGGAACCTCACTATTGATCTTCCAAGTTCCAATTGGAGCAGTCCTCTCCAACAGTTGTATTTAGGTTATATGGATTGCGGAAGGCGATTGGCAGAGTCTATAGATCTAAAGTCATTACAGTCTCTGGGTCTTTTTTACTACAACTTGGAAGGTTCCATTCCAACTTCCATAGGGAACTTATCTAAACTTACTTACCTAAGCCTCTATTCTAACAATCTCAGCGGACAAATCCCATCATCACTTGCAAACCTCACCCAACTTACCTCTCTTGACCTTTCCTATAATCAGTTTTCTGGTCCCATTCCAGCTTCCATAGGTAACTTAAGGCAACTTACTAGTCTATACCTCTATCATAACAATCTTATTGGGCAAATCCCATCATCACTTGCAAACCTCACCCAACTTACCTTTCTTGACCTTTCCTATAATCAGTTTTCTGGTCCCATTCCAGCTTCCCTTGGTAACTTATCTCAAATAACTGACCTAGACCTCTCTTTTAACAATTTTAACAGACAAATCCCATCATCACTTGCAAACCTCACCCAACTTACCTCTCTTGACCTTTCTTATAACTTACTTAATGGCACGTTGCCACCTTGGATTTTCACCCTACCTTTGTTAGAGTACTTGTATCTCAATCATAACCAATTTCAAGGTCAAATAAGTCAATTCCGGCAAAACTCACTCACACACCTAGATTTGTCAAACAATAAACTCCAGGGCTCAATTCCTAACTCAGTTGCTAATTTAGTAAATCTTAGTTATCTTGATTTATCATCAAATCATTTTAGTGATTTAGTAGAAGCCGACATGTTCTCAGCGCTTCAAAATCTGGAAACCATCTTTCTTTCAGACAATAATCTGTCCTTGAGAATGAATGTCAATGCCAACTTCACATTACCCATGCTAACTGATGTTTCCTTTTCTTCTTGTAACTTGAGTGAATTCCCCAATTTCATAAGACATTCAAATGGTCTGCAAAGCCTAGTGCTATCCAAAAATAGCATTCATGGAAATATTCCCGAATGGATATGTGGAAAGGATGATCTCAAAATTCTTGACCTTTCTCATAACAATTTAATCGGGGAGATTCCAAATTGTCTTCCTAAGTCTCTCTCAGTGTTGAATTTGCAGGCCACAATTCTTGACCTTTCTCATAACAATTTAAGCGGGAAGATTCCAAATTGTCTTCCTAAGTCTCTCTTAGTGTTGAATTTGCAGGGCAATAACTTTGATGGAAATATGCGATTTGGGTTTCCAGAGGACTGTGGATTACGAAATCTCAACTTACGTGGAAATCAAATGGACGGCTTATTACCAAGGTCTTTGGTGAATTGTAGCATGTTAGAGGTTCTAGACGTTGGCAACAACAACATAGAGGACACATTCCCTCATTGGTTGGAATCTCTACCAGACCTTCAAGTGCTTGTCTTAAGGTCCAACAAATTCCATGGTTCTGTGCTGAGCACCAAAGAAAGTCCATCTTTTCCCAAGTTACGAGTTCTGGACCTCTCCAGCAATGATTTTCTTGGTCCTTTGCCTCTTCGGTACATGGAAAATTTTAAAGCGATTATGGACCCTTATGGAGAGGATGGTTCCCCTGAATACATGAATGTGTGGACGGGAGCGGGAGCCAATTCTTATCAATATTCACTGGTTGTGACATGGAAGGGATCCGAGCGTGAGCTGCAGGGAATCTTGACCGTATTCAGTAGTATTCATCTCTCAAATAACAAGTTTGAGGGAGAAATTCCAGATGTTATTGGAAAGCTTAGTTCTCTCAAAGGGCTTAATCTTTCTCATAACAACCTTACTGGTCATATCCCACTGTCACTAGGGAATTTGACGAATCTGGAATGGTTGGATCTCTCTTCCAACGAGCTGGTGGGGAAAATTCCTGATGAATTGGTTTCTTTGACACAACTCTCTGTATTGAATCTTTCAAATAATCATCTCGTTGGGCGCATACCACAGGGCAGTCAGTTCAACACCTTTGGAAATGGTTCTTATGAAGGAAACCTTGGACTGTGTGGATTCCCATTGTCAAAATCTTGTGATGGAATTGGGACACCACCGAGCTCCTTCCAAGAAAAAGATGAGTTGTGGAGATTTGGCTGGAGGGTTGTGGTGTTAGGCTATGGATGTGGAGTTGTTTTTGGACTGCTGATGGGATATCTTGTCTTCCGAACAGGAAAACCAAAATGGTTTGCGTCTTTCTTTGATGGCCGATCAAGTCAAAGTGGAAGGAAGATGAGGAAAGCCAGAAGACTTGTTCAAAGAAGAAGCTAGTTGCAGAGTTGATGTTTTGGAGCTTCTGATTTAATGTTTCCTAAATAAGAGCTTTTCGGGTTTGAAGTTCTTGTTATGGTTGGCATTGGCTTGTCTAAAATTGTCAGCCTTCTTTTGTTTTTATTATGCTTTGTAATTTTATCTTTCTTTATTGTAAAATATATTTGAAGGTTAATCTTTCTTAGTTTGTCAAATTAATCTACTTCCTTTAGCAGACTCATAAAAATTCTTGTTTGGATTTTGATGGAATCTGGATTTTTTGGATGGTCATCGTCTTGGGGATATAACTGTAATTGTCATGTTGGGAAGGGCAAGTCTTATGATTTGGGCTTCGGTCTCTCTCGCATTCGCTTTCGGTAACCTCCATTTCCATTTCCTTCACAACAGAAAGAATCCAATGGAAGAGATCACCTCAATTTCACATATGAAGGGACATTATCAGCATCACCTCAATTTCACCTCTTTAGGGTTCCTCTTCTATTATGAATCCCAACTCCTGCGTTCCATCTGCAGCAAATCCATCCGTCCGTTTTTGGTGTAATTTACTGTTTGAGATTGTGAATACTTGGCATTGTTGGTACTAGAGCTCTTCTGAGATCGTTAAGTGAAAAAACAATGATCTGGGTGGTGACCAAGGTGAGGTTTTAGGCCTGGATTTGGAGTCTCTGAAGATTTTGCTGAAGTGGGGGGTCTTTCTGGGGGAAATGTTTTGTGGTTTTTTGGTTTTCTGGTGCAAGAGGGTGCTTGCGGTGGAGGAAGTGGTGAATGCAAGGTACGGAGTGATTGAGTGGTGGCCATTGTTGTTGAGGAATGCGTGGCCTAGGGTTTCTAAGGTTTGTAAGATTTTCAAAGACCAAGGTGTGGTTCTGACCGCACTTTAGGTCTATCTGCATTATTCTCAATGGCAGAGACTTCTCTAACTACACTTGTGGCCATGGAAGGTTTGCTTTCTTTGTTTGATGATTGATGATTCTTGTAATTAGTGAATAGCAATTGAAATTTGAATTTTGGTATGGAAATATGGAAAATTTTGGAAAGATAAAATATATGAAGTTGAAGAACATTCACATTTAATGATTGTTAACGTTTCAGTAACTTTTATCTTGGAAAGTTTGTGGTTGTTGTGTAATGGCATTTGCTGACTTAAATATTGGGTTAAGTTTAGCAAAGATTAATCTGATCTCCTTTATCAATTCTTGACTGAATTTCATGCAGCATTATTAATGTTGTCTTGTTTGGTTTAGATGATGCTGGTTTCTACTGTGTTTATATGGTTCATATTAACTTATAGAAGAACAGATTTTTTTTTGAATATCACCAAGCCGTAAAGAAACTTTGATCTCATTGGTGATTCGATGCTGATTTGTGTCAGGTTTGTGAGCTGAATCGTTGGTTAGTGTTCTTTCCCTGTTATCCACAGACTGCTGCATCTTTATAATGTTAAGATACTGCTTTATTTCATTATTTTTTGCACTTTAAAGATTTCTGACCTAGTTTCCTCTATTTGTCTCAGAGCCATTCTATTGTACAATTTGCATATACAATAGGGAGAGGAGAAAAATTGTCAGAAGATTTCTATTTTAGCATTCTACCAACTGAAATGCAGGATGTAAGCCTGAAAACTAATTTAGCATTAAATTCTTTGGTGCTTTGGTTTTTCATATTGATGACTTAAAAATCCACTCTTTCTCATTTACCTGGAGAGACTAATAAAGTATCTTCAGAACCTTGTGGACTTTTCTATTTAGATGCTCCGTCAGCATCTGTGTGCCTACTAATCCAATTAGAGAAGCCTGCACAGAAGAAGGGGGAGTGACTCCTCCTGTTTATTCATGTAAAGAACCTGTATGTATGAAGAACTTATATGTTTCCATCTTGTTCATCTTCAATCTGACCTCTGATTAAATGTGACAAAATTTCTCTTTTGTTGGCTTGCTTGTTACCTGGCAGCAAGATTTTTACCTGTTGGCTTGCTTGTTACCTGACAGCAAGATTTTTACCCGTTGGCTTGCTTGTTACCTGACGGCAAGAATTTTAACTATCGCCCCCTTGTCATCTGTCTTTCAATTGGTTTTTACTGTAGTTCTTACTGTGGAAAATAATGGCTCTGCATCTGCTCGATAAGTTAGCTAATCATTGGCATTGCAATTAGTAATTCTTCAGTGGATTTTCATCCATATTGATTTTCATCCTTATTCATTCATCTATGCCCCTACTGCTACATATTACCATACTTTCTTTTATCTATGCTTCCTTACAAATTATAAATGACTTCTATTTTGCTTGCATTGATCCTTTTGTTACTCTAATGTTTTGGATCAGTTGATTATGAAATTGTTTCTCATAGTTTATTAGAATTCAATGTTTTGGTTTGTCTAGTAGGAAGGGCTGTTTATTTCTCAGAAATATTAATTGACTGGAGTTTGGTGAACATTGACATTTTAAAAGATGAGAGAAAACAAAGCAATAAAAAAACCTGGTGATGCAGCTGTTGTGCATTTGAACTTAAATTGTTACAT